GGTTTGGAAAATCTGATACTCACAGGAGAGCTTGAAGGTAATAGGGCCAAAGGTGAGCTTGAGCACAGCAGGGTTTGGTGGGAGATGGCAAAAAGACAAAAGTTATTAAGAAATACAATAAACAGGAAATTGTGGTGAAGAAGAAAATTGGTTATATAAAGATTAAAACTAATTATGTATGATGTCCGGCGAGATCTAGAATATTTTATGACATTTGCAGCTGAAAGAACACAAAATTAAGGCAATCAATAAATCTTCAACAATTTTCCTCAGTTTTTGTTGTCATTTGTTTAATAAATTTTCTTAAAATAATTAAAAAGTGCTGATTTGGCTTCATGACATCAAATAGTTAAAAAAAAAAAAAAAAAAAAAAGAAAATAAATATAAAAAAAATAAAAAAGGTACATATATAACAAATAAAAAAAATATTACTTCATTCTATTATCAACCTATTGCAGGTTATTTAAAGCCAGAAAATATTTTTAGATTGTAAGAATTTTTTTTTTAGATAATAATGGTTTAGTGATACAAGTTTTACTAAGTAATCCATAGCTGGCAGGAGAAGAGGAGGATTTGTAGTGAGTGCAAAATAATAATAACTCCCTTCACCCACTCACTTCAAATTTGGAGAACTGAAGAAGAAAGAGGGACTGAATTCGCAAGCTTATGTGAAATTTTCTTTGAACCAATGAAAACCTTGCCTTCACAGAAACTGACTAGCCAGCTGAGAAGGAGGAAAGGAATTTGCAAGCCTATGTGAAATTGTTTTTGGACCAATGAAAACCTTGCCTTCACAGAAATTAACCAGTAAGCCAAAAAAAAAAAAAAAAAAAAAAAAAAAAAAAAAAAAAAAAAAGAAGTGAGTCTAAGCAAAATTCTTTTTTAGATAAAATGAGGAGAAAAATTAAATTAATCCATGCTTATAACACCTGGTATTTTGGGGGTTCTCCTGTTTGATGAACTTGTTGACAGTTGGAATATGAATTGCAGTGTTCAAAGGTATTTTTAGCTATAAATATAACATAAGTAAAATTCTATAAATGAATAATTCTTAATTTTAATAATTTTCTTTGAAACTGATATCTAGGATAAAGATTTGATTTTTAAGAGATTTGCAAAGTGTCTTAAACTTTAGGTGATCATTTTTCAATTGAAATACCAGATCAATGATAAATTGAGCATTTGAACATTTTAAAAATGTCTTGCTTGAAACTTTATTGAATTTAGTTTTACATGAGTAAATTTCTCCTTTTTTTTGTTGTTAATGGATTACCTATAGGATGCTGTATTTCAAATAAAACCAAAATTTAACTTTAAAAACATTTCATTTTTAAACTATTTTAAAATAGGTATCTCCACTAATTAGTAAGGTTGTGTAAGGTTTAAAAATGATTTTTAAAAAATGTAAAAGCTTTCTTGAAGCTAACATTTTAGCTTTAATTAAAAAGCTAAAGGATTTAAAATTTACTATTTCCAGTAAACAAAATACTTTGTGGTGTATTTCAAACAGAAATTATATTGATCAGAATCGATTTTTTTTTTCAGTAAAACCGATAAAATTTGGCCATTTTAACACATTTGTAAACAAAAGTTAATTCTTGGTTTTAAAAATCTTGGAAAATAAAATATATATTTCTGAAATTTTATTTGAGGAAAATTAGCAAATTTAAAGTTAAATTAATCTGATTTGAAACAAATATTACTTACTTATAGCATAAAATTGTTGTATATAAGCATTTCTTAACCAGGGGGTCTTGTTTTTTTGACGTGTTGATTGATTTATTGACAGCAGATTGACCGCCATTCATGGTGGAGCAGATGATAAAATTTGATGGATTTTTTTTTTTCACTGTAAGGGGGAACAATCCTTAAAACACGTGACCTTTTAATGATAACGTTATAGGTTGTCCAATATAGTTTGAAATTCTGCATGTATATTACACATACAAAAACAAATCAAAATTCTTTTAAAAATATTCGGGGTCGTCAGATTGTAATAAGTTTTACAATATATGATTAGTAAATATAGTTTTACTTAATAACAATATTTTTTAAAAGTTATCTCATTGAAAATGAATTTTAAAAGATTTAAAAACTATAAACAGTTTATAGTTTTTAAAATTTAAAAAATGTAAACTGTTTATCGTTTTTAAAATTTTTTACGATGAATTTTAAAAGATTTAAAATTTAAAAAATGAAAAAAACAAATCTTGTAAAAATTCATTGGTAAATTTTGGTTTTGTTTTCCGAGCGCTAATATCCTTTAAAATTTAAGAACAAATTAAATAATAAAAATAAAGCATTTTTTATATTTTAAAATTGAAAATAAAAAAAATTAATGCACAAACTTGGTAAATTATTTAATGTTTTTTATTTTTAATTTGTCCCCTTTTCTACACAGAAAAAAAACCCCACCCCTAACCTTAACACAGGGTCAGGTGTTAAGATTAGGGGTGGGGTTTTCTTTTTGTGTAGAAAAGGGGACAGATTAAAAAAGATTAACTTTAGAGTTAGGTGTTAAGGTCAGGGGTGGGGTTTTCTTTCTGTATAGAAAAGGGGACAAATTAAAAAAAAATGAATTAATACAATCAACCCTTCTACTTTACCAAGTTTGTGCATTAATTTTTGTTTTATTTTCAATTTTACAATATAAAAAATGCTTTATTTTTATTATTTAATTTGTTCTTTTAAGTTGTCATTGCTATTCAAAACGGAAAAAAGGTTCTGTTGTATTATTTAATTTGTTTTTGTTATAAATAAAACTACACTTACCAAAAAAAACAAAAAAAAAAACATTTTTTTTACGGTAGTGCGTAGTGATTTTCTGCAAGGAAAGTCTGTAAAAGAAGTAAATAGGCCAAATTTTCTGATTACGCCTGCGTAGGTACTACGCAGTGAATCAGTAATCATGATGGCATAATGGGGGACGAATGACCAACAAGAAGTCCGATATTTTCTTGTCGATAATTCCAAAACGGTAAAGTTTCTTCATGATTTAAATTGTTAATTCGAGTTCAGCATGTACATTTGAACGGAATTATGACGATTTTGGAAAAGTTTTGAAGGGATATTAGCGCTCGGGAAACAAAACCAAAATTTACCAATTCATTTTTCATCGAAAATTTTATTTTTCTTAAAGACAATATTGTCTTTATTCATAAAAACAATTAAAAACTTCTTTAATTAAATAATGTCTTTTTAGTTTTATTACGTTTTTTATTTTTCCATTCAGAACAGATTTTTTTCAGTAAGACGTTATCCGATTTTGAAAAAAAAAAAAAAAAAACTTCGGTGATTTCTGCTTTTTAAGTCACTAAAAAAATAAAAAAAATTATCACGTTGAAACTCAAGTTTTCATAAAATTTAAGTGGAGGTAAAATATGTAAAACAAACAAAGTATATTATCAAGATTTTCAAAAACAAAAAAATTCAAAAATAATCTTCAAGTACTGAAAATTTCATTATAATCCGACAATTATTGGATTTTTGCAAGAATTTCCAAAAAAAAAATTAATGTCTGTCACCGCAAAAAAGGCTAAAATTTGCTATATTAAAAATTAGTACAACCACTAAAAAGCAAGAAAAATAAGTCTTTTAATCAAAATCAAAAAAGGAGTTCTAATCAAATATTAAAAAATATTCTGATCATTCCTTTAATTAAATAATAACAAAACTGTTTTCATTCATTACTTTTGGAGCCTGTTTTCATCATCACAGTATGCTGATTTTTTTTAGCATTTTCGTGGAGATACCTATTTTAAAATGAGTTTTTTTGTTTTATTTCTTTTTGTTGAGGAAGTCTGTCGTGGTACCTAAACAAAACAGTGACCCTTCATTTTTTTTTTCACTTAGTAATGTTTCGTTTAGGTTTAAAAAGTTGATAAATAAATAGTAAACTAAAGCAAAATAAAACTTATTCTTTATCTTTGTTGAAGATAATTTCAAGTCCTAAGGAAAGGTTTCATTTGTTTAAAAGCATACATATTTTTATAATAAAGCGAATAAAAAAAAAGAAAAAAAAAGAAACTTGACAATGACATTGATAATCACAAGCACAGGAAGAAGATTAAGATTAAGAAGAATAACAAAAACAAAGTTACAAAATAGAAAAGATTTTTTTTAAAAAGAAGTAGAATCAATCAGATTTGTTTTTAAGAAAATAACAATATTCGGTAATATTTATTAATTCGTAATTAAAAAAAAAACTCAGGAAAATTTTCAATATCTGAACTTTTGAAGTTTCATTTTTTTTTTTTTACATGATTCCATTGAATTAATTTGCGGTTCACTCAGTGCATTTTTTTTTTTTTTTTTTTACAATTATTTAAAATGAATCGTTTAAATTAAACTTGAACAAAAATAACTTTTTAAATTCACTTAAAAGTAAAAAATCGAGTCGGTAAAAGTTTTCTGTTTTACCGACTCGATTTTTTACTATTTCTACATAAACTATTTTTACTGGTTTGAAAAAAACAAATAAAATAATAAATAAATTCATTTTTAAAAGTTGAGAACTTGTTGATTTTTTTTTTTAAAGGGTTCGCATTTGGGGGAATAAAAGAGGAGACTAATCTAGTTTTCGGACTCAACCCGTGATCGAAATGGGCATTCTTCTTTAGATACGACTTTTGTGCATCAACAAACGTGTCTCCAAGTTTTAACGATGAATCGAGAAAGTCGAAACAAAGTAAGAAAGAAAAATTGCCTAACGTTAGTTTTCATACTAAATACATGAATGTTTGAATTAAAAGTAAAACTGAGAAAAGACTTGATTAATTTTTTAGTTTATATTCTGTTTAATAGATAAAATAAAACTTTAAAAAACTAACTTTTTTTAACATCAAGAAAGAGAAAGTAAAAAAAAACTTACGTGACTGAAATCTGTTACAATTCAAAAGGCAGTTAGTTTTAAATAAAGTTGAGGAAATATAATTGCTTAAGTTAAAAAATACTTAAGAAGGCTTTCAACAACTAAACAAAAAAGCATAACCCATACTTACTTTACCACCTGTTCTGTGTTTAACAGTTCACAGCCCTAGAACATCCCTTTTGATAACTCATTGAATTTAATCACGTCTCAACCGAACCGTTGCAATGGTGCTCTCACTGATTTTATAAGATCTAGCAGGTACTCTTCTTTTTTTTTTTTTTTCTTTTCTTTTTTCCAGATATGTGGGAGGGATCGGTTCTCTACAGTCACGAAAAAAAGTACTTATTTAAAAAAAAAAAGAAGTATTTCCTTAATAATACATTTGTTTTTTGTTTTTTTATCATGAAAGTGAAACATAGCATGATTTTATTTTTGTCGTGTTTTCTAAGGCTACGGGCTAGTAGTGGATTAAAAAAAAAGTGTTGGTTTGTGAATTTGTGGGTTCAATCCCTGGGTCGGTCAGTGTGTATAGTTTCAGTGGAAACCGGCGAGCAGTACTAAAATTAAGACCTGTGATATCCCTAGACATGGGCAGTGGAATGAAAACAGTCTACCCCCGTATATTAAATGATTACTCAGAAATTCTCTCTAGGTTACCCAAAGTCGATAAACACCTGAGGAAGGACGGAGGACATAACGGCCGAAACATTGTGACAACTACAACAAAGATGAGGACAATAGTCAAAATTTTGGCGCAAGTCCACAAGCACAGGGTACCCAGTGAGGCTTGATCTCAGTAGCAATGGCCAAACAAAATTGCATGTTGGTCTTTCCCTTGGCTTAAACTAAAGTTTTAAAGCATCTTTCTAAAACTCATTAGTTTATGGTTTAAATTTACTAAGTGTGGTTTAGATGTGGCACAAGGCCAACAGCATGGAGCGACAAGTGAGGATCAAACTCAATACTCAATCGTAATTGATCTAGCGAGATAAGCTTGTTAATTTCATACTTTTACAGTTATCACAGATTTTATAAATGCAAATGAACAACAATGAAGTCGAGTTTAGCATTCTGCTACCACTTCATTTTAATGTCAATTTTTGTGCAAATTAAACATAAAAAGTGGATCACAGAGCTTTGATGTTTTTCTCACTTCTTATTGGTCAGTTGATATTAAAATCATGTTCTCGCCTACGTCCGTACAACGCCTACGCGTTATGCAAAACCATTTTCCGCCAAAAATCAGAAATGCTCTCTGGAGCCTATCACGTAACTACGTTTATTAAATACCTCGACACAAGTTCGTTCTATCTCTTTTGGCCTCTCTTGGGGCTAGTTTTTAAATTGTTGTTTTATTCCCCTCCTCCCACAGACGAATTGTACATATGAGGACTAGTTAGTATTTTCATGGAGACATTGAGGTATTATGGTGGATGTGGTGAGAAAGGTACGTAAAAATGTATTGTTTTGGTGTAAGGAATATTGTTAGTATGATTGGGTCAACGTTTGTGGCTAGCTAAGTTTAAAGTTAAGACTGAAGACCGACCTCTTCCCCCTTCCCCAATTTCGGCTTTGTGCCACATTTTCTGTTTTTTCTACAGAAATAAATATTCTTTTGGCCTCTCTTGCCTTCTCTGACATACAAGAAGATGTAGTAACTAAAGAACTCGCGTTTCGCCCTTTTCTGGAAAACTCCATGAAACGCCATTACACACGAACACATACACATATATATACGTACCGAACATTCACATATACGAATTCACTCAAACACACTCATATTCAACAATTTCTACCAACAACGCACATCTACAAACATTACAAAAATTATCTCACTCAAGTCGTTCACCCAGCAAGTAAATAAATACCAAAAATTGGCTCAACCCAACTAGTGAGATTTTCTTCAGCGACAGAAACTAATTCAACATATTACGGAACATTCACTCTTTCAACTATAAGTTACAGAATTCTTTCAACTCTCTTACGGTGAACATTTTGAGTGGCAAGTTCATTCAACTTTCTGTGAGCTCAGATAAAAATGTTTCCTTCGTAGAAACTCTATTCCAGTCCAAGGGAAGTAACCCCTATGCTTGTATATCATTGACATACATAAATATAAATATTGTTTGTTATTGTAAAACAGTTTTGTGTTGCTTCCTATTGTTTCATATTTTGTGGTCACCTTGCATCAACAAGGTGACCTCCACAGGAACATTTCATGGAAAACTTGACCCCTTGCCAAAAACTAAAAAGTAAAAATAAATAACATAAAATAGATAGGTACCCCAAAACAAAGGATAAAAACATAATATATAAACAAAAATAAAAAGAATTAAAAAATAAGGCATTTGCGCTTTCTTTTAAAACCCTTATGTCTTTCTCTCTCTCTCTCTCTCTCTCTCTCTCTAAACTTCTCTTTCTATGCTTCTATCAATCTACGAGAAGGCAACCCTCAAATAGAAAAGAGGAAGAAGAAGAAGAAAAGACTGAACCCGGCCCAAAACACCAGAAGTTTGCAGGAACAGAGCTTACTTATTTGTGACTGAAAAGTACAAAAATTCAGGGAGGCTCCACGCATAACTTCCATTATAAAAAAAAATGAAAAAGAAAGAAAAGCCGGAAAATAAAGTAATTTTGGCCGATCAAAAAAATGGGCACAAAGAGACTTTTGATGCTAGCCGAAACTAATGTTTGAGCCAGAATCTCGGAACTCGATTAAAAGTATATAAACCTGACACATTTGAGCTATAAACAGAAGGGACGACGAGAGTGACGAATAGAGACACGACCACTAGAGAAACCAGTCACACGTAAAGTAGTTAAGAGGTCATCTGCTAATGATATTTCTGCCCTGCTTAAGTCCAAGAAAAACACAGTTGATTAACACTGACCTATTTCTAATACCACTACTACCCCTAGCATGGTCTGACTTCAAAACAACACTACAACATTTCTCAAGACTGCTACCAATACCCGCCTTATAAATGAACATTTTGCTACACCGAATACCAAAGGATTCACTCATCACTCTAAAGAAAATGAATAATAATATATTATTTTTTTTATACCATTGAGTTAGTTAATTTTATTCCAAAGTTTCCAGTAAATAAAATCTTACCATCTATTCACACCAAAAATAAAAGTGATACAGTAACCAATCGCAAACGTTCCCGATGGAAAAGGAGATGACCTTAGGGACTACCAAATTTGTTTAAAAGTAAGCTTCTCATAACGACCAACAGCAATCGCCGTCCGAAAGGCCACCTACTGACACGCAGGGAACTGTTGCCATCACCACCATGATCACTTCTCTCAGCACAACCATTACTACCACCAGTCTTCACTAATTTCACCCGACTCTTCACACGCGGAATATGGCTGACAAAACAGCTCGACATTGACAGGCCCTCGAAGCCAACGGCCGTGATTTTCAATACCTCGACGTTGCGATCGTGACCTCGCCTTGGCTTCATTAATCTCACCTGACTCTTCATACACGGAATCCAACAGAGATCAGCTTCGACACTGAATTATAACACCTCGACGTTGTCTCCACGCAACTCCAGGCCTCTCTCTTCACCACCGCCAGCAACCCGACCCGCTACAAGTATACCCTTGCAGTCACCACCGTGATCCTGTTTCCTAGATACACCATCCGGCCAAATCAACCGAAATATTCAACTCCCGGCCTACTTGCTACACCTAATTCCTTGTCGCCACCGTTGTCACCTCAGCAACCAATGCATACTTACACAAATCAACCCACCACCGTTACCTCGATCGGTCAACACGTACATCAAATCCAACCAACGGCTAAGGATCTATCCTGTGACCTCGGCCAAAGTAACCCAAAGAAACCAGTCAACTATCGTCACTACCCTTACACCTAATCGCTTTCGTAATGATCAGCAACTAAAATCAACATTTTCTCTTAATGTTCTAACAACTGTAAATATATCATGTATATTAAACAAATACACGCTGTTTGAAAATCCAATCATTTTTATTCGTTTCCTTTCGCAACCAAACGCTCGTTATAAAACTTAGTAATAATTTGATAGAAAATAAAAATACTATTCTGAAATGGCCACAGTGACTTGGTAATTACAGTGTAACCCGGATATAAGAGAGTTGTCGGGACCGGAGAAGTCTCTTATATCCGGGTTTCTCTTATATCCAGGTTTGGTCTATTTTATATACATTAACACAGGCTCTAATTTGGGACCAGAGAAAATCTCTCTTATATCTGGGTTTCTCTTATATCCGGGTCTCTTATATCCTGGTTACACTTTATTTGATAGAAAATAAAAAATACTATTCTGATATAGCTACAGTGACTTGGTAATTATTAGATAAATAATTAAAGATCCTATTTTCACATTGCTAGAGTGCCTTAGTAATTATTTGATAGAAAATAAAAGATACTATACTGAAATATCAACACTGGCTTGGTAATTATTTGATAGAAAGATGACAATATACATTGCATTTAAATTTTTGAAGATCAAAGTTGATTAGGAAGCAAGAAGCCGGAAGAGATTTCCACAAGCGAGAAGTGCAAGAGAAGAAACCGTTAGCATAGAACTTACAGTTATATCTAGCTATTTCAACTGTAAAATGATGAGACCTAATTGCCAATCTAGTACTGCACTTAAATTCATAAAGTCTATGTAGCAAAGAGGAAAGCTCATGTGAACAATTATCATGAAGGTATTTATAGAAAAAGCACAGAGAAGCTACGTTACGGCGGTAGAAAAGTGACTGAATCTGAGATGCCAGGTCAGAGTCAATGTCATTGCAGATTCTTTGTATTTTTATCTAGAATTTCTAATGCCCTGATTAGCTTTTTTCCATAGTCCCTCCGAATACATGAATTTAAGCGTGCTACTAGATTAACATCTAGGTCCCACCCTTTGATATAACTAAATGCAATTTCTCGCACTTCCCACCTGTGGAACTTCATTCTGTTTTCTTGCTTCCCTGATAACTACAATCTTCAAAATTCTAACACTAAACCGTATGTTGACTGCTCGACGGCCCAAGGCAGAATACGTAAACGCGTTTCTGCGCATCAAGGCTCGACGCATGTTTTCGGTATTAAATTAAAAAAAAATGAACTTTATATATTGGCCAGTAGAAATAACTTCCGCTAAAAGATCTAGACTGTGATTTGGAGCCGATACGACGGATATAAATCTCTTAATTCAACGCTGCAGAAGCCAGAGAGAGAGAGAGAGACCCGGCTGAGATGTCGACACGCGGAGGTTGGTCAAGAACACCGCAGGTAGACTGAACGCGATACTTTTCAACTTTCATCCTTCGCCACCGCCGTCTTCACAAAGCATCAGCCGACAGCCATGACCAACATTCTTTCTCTTTATTTCTTCTTTCCCACTCTGTCGCCTTTTACAACAGCAACGAGTAGTATGCTGGCTTTGTATAGACGTAAATAAATTATACATTTATCTACCCCAATTATTGAATTATTCACGTACTTACATATAATCCATTATTGTACATGATTACGTTACAATAAAATTTGTATTTTATATGACTACCACCTTATGAAAATTGAGATGTAGTAGAGTGGGGGGGCGTATTATAAAAAGGTGGGTTCACGAGATCTTCGCACCGCTACCTCCACGAAATCGCTAAAAAATCAGCATACCGTGATGAAAACATGATCTAAACGTAATGAAAACATAGTTGTATCGTTGTTATACTCCGTCGCTATTAGATACCTTTCTGATTTATTCTGCACGTTGGCCGGATGTGAACGCCACGAAGGCAGAAAATGAAATAACAAAAGTCGTCTTCTGTGCATTAGGCTCCACGCATCACATCCAACCTGCGAAATGAACTCTGGCAGTGGCGTTCCCGCCGGAGAAAGAAATGTCCGCGGGGACTACCAGACCCGCTTAAAAGCAGGTACCTGAGAACAACACCAATCAGTCGCGTCCCGGTGGGCCACCGGCCATCACCTAGGACGCCGCTGCTGCTGTCGCCGCCGCTGCTGCTGCCACCGCCGCTGCTGCCGGTTCAATACAACAGGTCTACCAACCAACGAAAACAACCTACTACTGTGACCTCGATCAACCAAACGTACACCAACCATATCTTGTGATCTCGGCCAGGCCAACACAAGAAGTAGGCCAACTCCCGGTGATACACTTACATCATCATCATCATCCTGCGGCCTCAGCCGAGATTGAACTCACTACACCTCTCCAGTATTCCCTATCCGTCATAGCTCCTAAAAGATCTTCCTTAGGGATCAATGTGTCTCGTTTTATCCTATCTGGAAAGGTTAACTTGCGTGATCGATTGTCAGATGATGGGTGCCTCCAGAGTACAAATGATGACACAAGTTCATCAGTGGCACGTGCACAATGCCCGGCGAACTGGACACGTCTTTTGCAAACTAAGGTTGATACTCTCGGCAAGTCTCCATATATTATTTCTAGAGTTGGGCAGTTTCGCCATGAGAGATTAAGCACTCTTCTTAAAAGACGTGTATAACATCCATCTAAACGACGCTGTTGTTTTGCTGAGAGGGTCCAAGTTTCAGAGCCATAGAGTAAGATTGGCTCAATCAGTATACACTTACACCAGATCGCTATCCTGAAGATCGCCCACTGAAACTGACATTTCACCTAGCTTCGACATATCGGTACGATAAAATACCCTCCATCGTGACCTCGATCAACCAACATGGGCACCAATCGTATCCTGTGACCTCACACCAAACCCACAAAAGAATGAGGTCAACCCTTACATCTGACCGCCATCCTGACGACCGGCCAGTGAAACGTACATTCCTTCCATCCATCAACATTTGTACGAAATGCCAACAATAAATGTTGTTCAAAATTTAATCCTCGTTATTCCTTTCTCTTGTTGCCAAACGCTAAATATAACATCGTTAAAATATCCATGTTATTATTAAGAGGAAAGACCAAAGTATCTTTTGAATATTTAATTAAATTTTTTACTTATTTTTAGAACATTCGAAATTTTGATTAAACATCTTATTTTTTCTTGCGTCAGAGTATCTTAGCAAATTCTAGCGTCTTTTTTGCTTTAACAGACACAATCATTTGGAAAATCTTGCAAAAATCAAATAATTGCCGGATTTTAATGAAATTTTTAGGACTTACTCACAAATGAATTAAGTTATTTTAAAAATGTTTTTATTAGAAAATCTTCGTAAAAATATTTTTTACATATGTTTCACCCACCTTAATTTTATGAAAACTTGAGAAGTTCAATGTGATAATTTTTATTGACTATATTAGTTAAAGGCAAAATTCTTTGGAGAATTTAAATCACCGATTTATTTATTTATTTATTTGCAAAATCGGACCCCGTCTTACCGAAAATCTCAAACGAAAAGTAAATGGGAAGTTTTTTGCTTTTATGAATAATATATATTAAGGGCAATATTATCTTAAGAAAAAATGTTTTCGATGAAAAGTGAATTTTTACAAGATTTGTTTCCAATTTTTTTAAAAATTTAATTAAGATAATTTATAATATTTTTAAATTTTAAAAAATTCAGTTTCAATTATGTAACTCTTAAGAAAAATTGATATTAAGTAAAACTATATTTACTAAGCTTATTACAATCTAACACCCCTGAATATTTTTAAAAGAATTTTGAATTGTTTTTGTATATGTAAAAAATGTGCCAAATTTTAGGGATACAGTAACCCATACACGACACTATCAGAAAATAAGAACAACAATAGTAAATTTAGAGCCAAAATTCTCTAAAATTCAATAAAAACTTACGTAGAATATTTTCTTAAATTTTTAAGATTACCGCGAACTTAAAAGGCGTTCACGTTATATTCTTCATTTATTTTTTTTAAGGTTAATGTCTCCGTAGAACAACATTAGATAAAAAAAAATATATATCAGTCATCAAGCTGTCGGGGAGGTGTTAAAAAGTTGTCAACACACATAAACAATCTACCATCGTGTTGAAAATGCATTTTTGTCATATTTTAAACTTAAAAAAATAATAGTTGTTTCAAATCAGATTACTTTAAATCAGCTAATATTCCTCAAATAACGCTTCAGAAAAGTACATTTTATTTTTGGGAGATTTTTTAATAAAGTGATTTACATTTTTATAAAACTTAGCTAATGGCGCTTAAATTAAAATTTTCTGGAATTTAAAAAAAATCATTCCAGTTAATTTAAATTAGTTTTGAAATGCAGCATAGTATTTTGTTTATTGGAAATTAGATTTGATCTCTCAGCTTGAGATTAAAACTAAAATAAAAGCTTCAAAAAAGATTTTTCATTATTAAAAATTCATTTTAAACGTTAGCTATCGCGTTTTGTGGAGGGTCATTGTTCATTGTATGTCGTTTTAAACTTTTTTTTTTTATGCTACAGATTAAAACATATCCGCACAATTACTGCAACGCCTACACAGGAAAAACGAACGTAAAAAATGAATGTTTTTGTCGTTGTTTGTGGTATAAACAATCTCGTTTTGGGGCAAGAATGAGTTTAAAAAAAAGAAAAAAAGTAATGCACGTGTGGACATATTTGGAAGGAAGTCCTTTTATTCTTTGATACAGAAAAGTATGATATCCGGACTGACCCGACTAATTTCTCTTGACTTGCTCTTATGCATTTTATGACCTCCCACCACCTTTTTGGGATATTTTTTTTTAAATAACTATTTATAAAAACCAAAAAACAAAACAATACTTTTAATTGTCCAATGAGTTAACCCGGATGTAGTATACAAACCCTCAGTAAATGCCACGATGGCGGACTGGCCAGGATGTGAATCTTTTTTTTCTTTTTAATTCACCACAAAATAAAAAGAATTTGTATTTACTACACAATTCACACCAAATTCTCCCAAAGCCTTGGCCTTTCATTGGATTTCGGTTGTGTTGACCTTTGGGATCGCCGCAAATGTGGGCGACTCAGGATAGCTATTTCTAAGTGTGGGGTCTACATTCGCGCTCACCTCGATAAACAAGCCAAGAAAACAGGTTGTTTTTTTTTATTTAAATTGTAAAAAATTCTTTGTAAGTACAGTTCAACCTCGGTTCACGAACGTCTCACATGTAAAACAAATCGGTTTTCGAAGAGAATATTCAAGATGAAAATGCCTCGGTTATCGAACAAAATTTCGGTTTTCGAACAACATTGCCGAACCGAATTAACCCGAACGGAATCATTTCTTAATCGAATTAACCCGAACGGAATCATTTCTTAATGTTACAAAAATCTGTCTGTGCGTGCGTTTGAAATGTTGTGAGTAAAGTCGTAGATTTGTGTGGACAGACGAAAATAGCTGGACTCTACTGGCGACTTGTGGAAAAAGTGCTTCTTTTAAAGCTACCGATAGGCTACCAGCGAAAACGTGGGAAAAATTTATTTAGCACTAAAATGTTTGATGAGTTAAAATTTGACCAATTACTGATTTTGTATCAAAGAAACATGTGAGCAAGTTCACAACCGAAAAATTCAAAGTGATGACTGCCATTGCTAAATTGTCTTATAGAAAGGCAGTATTGATTTACTAACCAATCGCAGACGAATAAATTGTGGGCGTTGAAAAGCATAGCACTCGTTACATATTCGTGTGTTGTGCAGAGCTTTTCTTTTCTAATTTTATTTGTACTGTGTCTTTTTTTTTTTCTCATTAGTCCTCAGTCATGGCTCCAAAGAAAGCTAGCAGTGATATTGGTAAAGGAAAAAGAAAAGTTAAGATAAAAACAATTGTTGACGATATTGTTTTTTTGATGATGATATTGTCTCTTCCTATTCAGTTTCATATGGCAAAATCAACGATCTATACTATTCTTATAAATAAAGAGACAATCATGTATTTTCTTCCCTTTTCCAAACAATAACATGTCTTTCCACTTACGCTATCAACTCTCCTACATAGAGGTACGGTAAAGTTGAACTAACTGAAGTGTTCGTCTATATTTTATGTTTAGTATTTGTTTTTGTTTTTTTTTTAGATTTAATGATTTTCATTAGTTTTATATATTATATGATTTTCATTAGATTTGTGTATAAACTTGTGCACAAATTACTGTTGTTAAAGTTTAAATAAGTGTAGCGGTTGCTATGTTTTCCACGCCCACATTTTATTCGCCTGCGATTGGCTAGTAAATCACTACTACCTTTATATAGGACAATTTAGCCATCACAGTCGTTTCTTTGAATCCTTTGGTTTTGAGTTTGCTTGCTTGTTCCTTTAGTACAAGTGTAGTGATTGGTTAATTTTTAACCAATCACATATTTTAGTGCAAGATTAAGTTTACTCGCGTTTCCGT